ATTGACTACGTGGTGGATGAGCTGTTCACCAGAGGGATTTTCTCAGATGGGGCTGCCCACCTGGTGGACTGCTTGTGAGTAAAACCCCCTTGCTGTGTGGGCTGTGACACCTGCAGCTGCGAGGCCAGTGGCTGCGTCCAGGGCGTTCACACTGTGTGTGCAACTGGACAGTGAGCAGCAGAAGAGCAGTTCCTGGCAGGGTGACTCCAGCACGAGCAGCAGGCAGCTCACACACACAGCTAACAGCGTGGGTGCCCACCAGCCACGCTCTCACCTCAGCATGCCCAGGGCTGTGCATGGCCCCACCACTGCAAAGGCCCCCACAATCTTTATGGCCTTGATGACACAGGCAGTGAAGTACTGACTTATCTCTCACTTTTGGCACGAACATTTATACCTCAGCATTCATTTCTCAGTGTTTTCTGTTGAAATAGGCAGATTTTTTCTTCTAGCAAACCCTGCCTTGGGAGCAGTGCTGCTGTTCCTATTGCTCTGTCTGCAGTTGACTCGTCCTGACTTTTTCACTCTCTGCAATTCCAGCAAAGGAGACATTGTGGATCCCAACCTGAGATCCCAGTACAATACTTACAGGCTTCCTGCTCTGGTGAAAAGGATCTTGGCTATCATTTTGAAACCCATAGTAAGTGTGTGGATGTGGCTCACCTGTGTTACAGGAGATCTGCAAGGTGAGGAGGCTTCCTTGTGCAGGGAGGTAAATTGTACCACCCAGGAATTCTTGGCTGCTTCATGTTAATTGCCTGATGGGCTTCATAATGAAATACATTTCATTTTTAAACCAAAGATGAACTTATCAAGTGAGTCTGACAGACTTTTGTGAGAGTTTTGGGTGGGGAGGTTGAAATATGATCCTTTCTCAGGAAATCTTGTGAGCACACAACCCTTCCAGCAATAAGATCCAGGAGAATGAATATCACTAGCGAGGATCTAAACAGCATTCCCACATCCAGAAGATGACTTCCAGGACTACTAGTGTGGTCTAGAGCCTTATTTGTATGAGTTGTAGTGATTAAATGTGTAAATTTTTGTGGGAGTAAACCCTTTTCACAGGAGCTGGCCTGTCCTTCAGAGCCACTTCTGCTAGAAGACAGATGCCCAAAATGCAGTCGCAGCTATTCCAGCGGCATTGCTGTTGACTAATCCCAAGTTTTTCTCTTTCCTCCGAAAGTACCCACGAATTGCTCGGGACCTGGGTGCTCTCTGTGGAGTGGGGTAAGACACTCTGGGGCAGCTCTGGAGAAGGGGGGTGTGCTTGGCTGTGCCCTCCTGCTCGTGCAGGCGGCTGGATGCCAGCTGGCTGTGCAAAGCCCTGCTGTGCGGCACGGGCTGAGCCAGGCGGGTGTGAGCTGCCTCTGCACCTCCTGGGCTCAGCTCTGGCTAATCCCGGGCTCCTCAGCCAGAGGGTGTCTTAAGAGCTTAAGGATCCTCAGAGTGACAGGGCTAGGATGACTCCCTGGAGATCAGCACAGGGAGATAAAGGCTGGTTTTCCCGTCTGGGTGGTACACACAGCATCCAGTGCCAAGCCAATGCAGAGGTCTCTGCCTGCACGTGCAGTGTGGTGTGAGGTACCTGCACCTCCAAAAGAGGCACAGGCACACCAAACTGGTAGCAAATTAATTTGGAAGACTGATTTTTATCCAGATCTTCTGGCATGCTTTAACAAAAGCTCTTTTGAGGTACCTGTAAGCCTGTGTGCACCAGGGGATCAGCTGGGTGGTACCGTTGCTTGTTCCCAGAAGGATCATGCAGTTACTTTAAAAATGGGCTGGCTGTGCATTTTCTTAATTGCTTTCTGTTGCCACAAAGCTCATTAATTCTGTCACCTTTCCAGATCTGCCAAAAACCTCTGGGACCAGCATGGAGCAGTGGCGGTAATGTAACTTTAACTTTATTTTTCTTACTATAGTGAGAGGTCTCCAAAGTTTCTGAGCGATTGCTTTGCACTCTGTGATGGACTTCAGGTCGGAAATTATTCACCATACTTTGCCCTGCACTGTCTAAGCAAAACCAGCATAGGAACAGCCACTAAAGATGAGGCTTCACTTTGTATTTTCTGTCTCTTGTTGTGAATTCTTAATTTCAGGTATTAGGTGTTACTGTTCTGACCTAAAGCCATGCTTGAACTATCAAGCAGAGACACTAGAAGTCAAAACTTTTGTATATGAACCCTGTGACTTAGATAACTTCCTTGTGAACTCATTTGAGATCAGGAACCTCAGACAGGAAGCTTTTTCCTGGACAACTGCATCCAGTGCTGCCGCAAGCTGACCAGGTTCCTCTTTTAAACCAGCTGAGTTTTATGCTTCAGTTTAGTTTTATTGAGCCTCTTCTTGTCTCTGCTCTGATGGTTGGAAACCACCATGTTTCCTTTGCTCTTTACTCCCTTCCAGTTTATCCTTATTTTATTTTTGTCCTTGGGTTTAAATAGCACCTCTCCTCTCTGGTATTTTCCGCCGCCTCCGTCTATTTATAGAGAGTATCCTCTTTCAGCTGGTGTTTTGCAACGCTGAGGAGGCTGTTTTGGTGTCCTCCCACAAGGCAGGATCTGTGTTCCCTGGGACACCCTCACAATCCTCCCCGAGGAGAAGCATCCCCCAGCCTGCACCACCAGCCTCCATCAGTGCCACTCACTCCCTGCATGTGCACTGTGGCCTGACAAATTATGGGGCAGAGCAAAAACTCCTAAAAAGCTGCCTGCTCACTGGTGGGAGTGTTTGAAATGAAATGGGCATTTTTTTTTTTTAAGGTGAAAATAGATTCCTCTCCCATTCCTGAAAACAGAAAACCAAACCTAACAAATAAACATAAAAAACCCAAGACGGACAAACCAACAAAACACATACAAAAAAGAGCCACCACAAAAACAAACAAACAAACAACAAAACAAAACAAAAAAGCAAAAAAGAAAACACTTTAAAAGAGTTGATGGCTTCAGAGATATTTTGAATTGTTACAGTTCAGTGAAACCATATTCACATGTTTTCATCTACTGCAAACAAGAGCTGATTCAAAACTTTTGGCTAGTGACCAGCTTTTCTCCCAGAAAAAAAAAAAAAAAAATCAGGTTATCTGCAGTGACTGTATTTCCTGGAAACACATCTCATTTGTTGAACTTGCAGCAGGAAGGATCTCAGACAGCAGGTGGAAAATGAGGTCAGACTGAAAAATAGCCCCAAGGCCAGGCCTTTTGTGAGAGAACTGGAAGACTCTTGTACAGAAAATTTGCTGTGAAAGGGCTGTGCAGGACAGGGGCTGGGCCATGGCACAGGTGTGTCCCAGAAACAGAAAATGGCTGCAGAAACAACTGTGGTTCCACCTGTGTCTGTTTGCTAAGACAAAGTGGGACATCTCTTTGGGGATGGATTCATCAATTGCCTGATGTTCAGCAAAGCTGTGCTAAACCAGACTACAAATCTGGATCTCTCTTGGAGCTGCAGTGCAATCCTGAAGCAGTGCCATCCTGTGGGGGATGTCCTGGGGCTTGCCCAAATGTCTCTTGCTGCTTCCTTTCCTTACCTGTATCCTCATGCAGAATGACAGAATGTTTTGTGGAAGTATTTTGGCTTTGTGTTTTTTAATACTTATACAAGAATAACCAAAGCCTTTAGGAAATGTGACTTTCTAGTCATCCAAACAAACTGCTGTTGATCTCCATTCAATATCATTCTAAAATAAAGCTGTTCATGGAAAGGATTGGGTTAATACTCAGATAAATCAGTTCTGAAACACACACCTAGCATTAATGTCTAGGTCTGGGCAGCACATGGTATTCTGACAGGAAACCTAAAAATGGAAGAACAATCTCCTTTGACCCTTCAAAGCACAGTTCAGATTTTATCTTAAATATTTTTTTTGTTGTATCCAGGAAGGCTTTCTCCCTCCTTTTCCTGTGTCAGCATTGATCTGCAACTGCTGTCCAACAGACACATCTGACATCTTCTGTGCCTTTCCTTCCAGGCCTACCGCACTGAGTTCATCACCAAATGGAGGCAGCTGAGGCTGGATGTGATCCTTTGTCCCGTGCTGGGGCCAGCCTTCAACCACGGCTACGCTGGGAAGCTCTTTGGTAATGTGCTCTGAGGAGCCTCTGCACACACCCAGGGCTGTGTTTGCGGGCAGAGCTGCAGCAGGACACTTGAGTCCCGTGGGCATTCCCCAAACCTTGCACGGTGCTGGCTCTTCCCTCTGGGAGAAAGCAAAGGAGAGGCCTCTGGGTGGGTCTTCTCACACCCCCACCTCATCTGAGCTGAAGGTGTGTGGATAATAACGGGGCAGCACTAAGTGGTCCCTCTGTCCCAGTTGTTCATGGGTGAGTTTTCCCTGTTTTTCTGCTGCAGAAAGCCCCAGAGCTGCTCCTGCAGCAGAGAGTGGCAGTGAGGACAGCTGTGGTAGGTTTTGGTACAGGACCAGGCTCTTTTGGTTGCAGCTGTCTCACATTTCCCAAGACTCTGCCAACAGCAGGAAGGGCCATTGCTTGTGACTTGCAGGAAAAGGCCTTTTTTTATAGCTTCCAGTAAGTTAGGGTCCACCTCTTGGGAACCAAAATCCCCACGGTGGTGTTACATAACTGGACATCAGGAATATCTTGGAAAGGTAGCTGGGATTTTTCCCCAGGGATAGATGCAGACTCTGAATTGGTCCCTCACGGAGCACATCTAATCTCCACACGAGTGACAGGTGAATGCACAGGTCACTCTGCTCTCTGTCACTCAAACCTCTCCATCAAAGTCTCTTTGAGGCAGCATGTTTTCAGAGCCTCCTCTGGACCAGCAACTCCAGCCTGCAATTCCTGGAACTCAGGTTACCATCTGAAGGTCATTGCTGGCCCAGCACATCAAATTTTGCCATTTTGCATGCTCTGTGTTGCAGCTGCAACCTCCTACACCAATCTGTACAACGTGTTGAACTTCCCTGCCGGGGTGGTGCCGGTCAGCACGGTCACGAGCGCCGACGAAGAAGAACTGAAGCACTACCGAGGGCACTACGGAGACCCCTGGGACAAGAGGCTGAAAGAGGTCAGCAGGAAAAGAGCTCAAGTCTTAGAACCAGCAGAGTGACAGCTCTGGGACATTGTCCCAAGGCTTGTCTACATCTCCTAGAGGGAGATGCTTGTTTAAACTGCTTGTCTAGCAGCGCAGTTTGCAGCCGCTGTTTCGGCACCCTGGTGTTTGTCAGCCTGGCAGCCGTGCCCTCGCTTGTCTTCCTCTGCCCTCCCTTCCTGCACTGTCCCGTGCCTGCCATGGTGCCCTGACTCAGCACTGTCCTGAACTTTTGCAGGCTGTGTCAGGAGCCCTGGGGCTGCCCGTGGCCGTGCAGTGCGTGGCCCTGCCGTGGCAGGAGGAGCTGTGCCTGCGCTTCATGAAGGAGGTGGAGGCTCTTGCCCGTGGCACGAAGAGAAATGTGTGATTCCTGGGAGCCAGCCTCCAGTGGGATGGCTTTTCATTCCCTGCTCTTCACTCCACCTTCTACCTGATATGAAGCAAAGTAGATAGTGAGTTGAAAACTGAGCTAATGGTTTAATAAAGTGGCACTAAATTAGCTTTTAAAATAGTCAGCAGAAATCTCGTCTCTGTCTAAATTGTCCTTCATTGTTACAGTTAAACTGAGTCAAAAAAACAAAAGAAAGGAGTTAATGCTGGACCAAAGGGATCCAATAACAATAGTTTTTATATTATTTCTTGTATGGTGTGAGACCAAGGAGCTGTTTATTGCAATATTTTACTTCCAGCATTGGGCAGGAGCAGATGTTTGTGGGAGAGGATAGCCGGGTAAGTGCAGGATTCCCCCTCTGGCTGTGCCATTGTTTGGCCAAGAGATTTTTGGCAAAGGCTTGCAGTCATCCCGTGGGTTTAAATAGCTGCCAAGAGAGCTCTCCTCCACAAGCTTGTCCCCTTCCTGAGCTCATTTACTGTCTAGATCTCCACACCATCCAGCAGTTTAGCTGTGCAGGGAGTCCTGCAAAGTTTAATGTTCTCTGTTTAACCATAAGCTGAGAGAAATATTAACTGATCTGTCATCACTCCTGTTTCTCATTATTTCTTCCAGTTAAGCAATGGGAAAAGATGGGGATTTATTACCCACAAACACTTCAGGGAAAACTGAGAAAGCATTTCTGTGGCTACACTTATGCCATTCCACTGTTTGGTGCTTCCAGCCACACTGTGACAATGGTGTGCTGTTTCTTGACCCATCCTTCACTCTCAAGGTGGAAGAAGAGGCTGGAGGACAAAGGAGGAGTGATGAAGGAGATGCTTTGAATAAGCAAGTGTGTGTTGAAATCAGGCACTATCATGAGCAATGATCATTAGGGTGACTCCCTTCCCAAGCCTGCCAGGACAGAGAAGGGGTGACACTGCCCTTGGTACTCATCTGGCTCCCGGGGCTGTGCAGGGGTGCTGCAGTCATCCAGCTGCCTCCCGTGGCCAGCAGCAGGTCTGAGTCACACAGGGAGCGTGACAGTCACACAGTCTGAGTCACCACCCTCTGGCCCGTGCCGAGCCGGGGGAAGCTCCATGGCACACCCTGCCCCGAGGAGATGCTCTGCCCGGGAGAAGCTCCATGGCACACCCTGCCCCGAGGAGATGCTCTGCCAGGGAGAAGCTCCATGGCACACCCTGCCCGAGGAGATGCTCTGCTCCTGCAATTGGCAGGATTGCTGCTGGGGACACCAGCCACGGAGCCCCGGCCTGGGGACAGCCTGTGGAGTGACCAGAGGGTCTCTAGGTGTCCTCTCAAAGGGAAGGTGGGAGCTGTCCATTAAATAAGAAATCTGCCCAGGTAGCATCCCTGGCTAGACCTGAGCATGCACAGAGCTTGTTTTGCAAGGAAACGTGTGTTCTTCACTCCTGTATCCCTCCATGTCTTTGCAAGGCTGAACCAAGTGAAAAAGTCCTGTTTCTAAATGGAATTTCTGTCGCTGCTGAGTAAGAAACTGCACAGCACAGACTCACCAGAAGGCTGGTTTGCACAGCAGCAGCTTTAATACAAAAATTCTCTCTTTTTATAGACTGTTTGATACATACCGACCAGACTGGTCAATCAATCAATACATTTCACTATTTCACCTGATTAGCTAATTAACAAAAGCACCTTTCTTATAAACAATCTTTGACAAAAACAGGAAAACAGAGAGTAGGAAAACACCACCTGCAGGTTGTTTATAATAACAAGCTATCATCCTTTCTGTACAATTCCCTAAAGTCTCACAAGTCAGCCGTGAGAAAACTTCTCTGATTTTCTCACTCTGTGACCAGGCTGTCACATCCACAAATTTCTCCAGGCATACTTGTGCTCTGCATTCCAGCTGTTCCTTGTGATGGCTCTAGAAGGGGTTTGCTGTTCCTCCCACTCTCTCCTGCCTCCAGCCAGTCATTAGATCGCAGGATCGTGCAGCACTCACTCCCAGACCCAGCAGACAAAGGGAATTTCTCCCTGTGATCCAGCAGATGCTAAAGTAGAGAGCGTGGATGCTCAGATAACACTCTCCTGGCACTGAAGTGAATGAGGTAGAGAAGACATCCAGAAGAATGTTGAAAAAGTGTGAGGGAAATAAGACATATGTTTGGTCAGCACGGTCTGACCAAACAGAACAGACCCCTGAACAGACCCCTGATTTAGGGACCTGTTCAGTAATTTATAGATCAGGTAAATGCCTCAGCTGGGCAGACAGCAAAGCACCTTCCTGGGGAAAACTGAGGGCCATTCTCCAGCCAGGCTGTTGATGACATGAGTTGCCATTGCTGCATCAGTGTAGGGGAAAGTGGGGAGGGTGATGCTGAGAGCAGTCTGGTGAGGTCAGGTGCTGAAACACTAGAAGAGAAAGGCCTTTAGCAGAGCATAACTTCAAGTTTTCAGCAGAGTTCTTCCTCCAGGCCTCCTCCAAGCTGGAAAAAGAATGTCAGCCCCTTCCACACCCACCAGCACAGTGCTGCTGTTTGCAGCTCCTTCACCAAGGGCTGCTGTGCAGCTGTGCAGCCCTTGCAGCCCTGCACTGTGCGTTTGCAGAGTGCACTGACCAAAGTCCAGGCTTTGGTCTGTCCCAGAGAATTATGTGCAAATGCTGCTTGGGCCAAAAGGGCTTTGTTTTGACTAGTTTCTTTCATCTTCAGCACAATATCCCGGTTGTGGTCTTTGATCCTTTTTCCTCCTCCCTCTTGATTTTAATAATTTAAATCTGCCCTCCTTAATGCACATTTCATTCTGTGGCCAGATAAACAGCCAAGCAAGGTTGAGAGATTGAGGCATCAGAAAATCCAGGTTCTTTATTTGGTTTTACTTTATTTTGTGGGACTTTTTCTTTAGTTTGCAGTTCACATTGTTGCATAATCACAACACCAGGAGCAAATAAAACGCCCTAGAATGACTTAACACCAACAGAACATGAGTGGTTAGAAGGGGTCAGTTGTTCCCTTACAGGATCCAAAATACACAGAGCTCTCTATGTACCAGGCAGTGGCAGAGAAAATTAGGGAGACAAACATTCCCAGGATCCCAGATATTCGCTTCAAAGAAGTTTCAAGGAAGGTGGTAGTTGAAGAAGCTCAAAGCAAATGTTCAAAAAGCAGGTGAAACAAAACAGCTGAACATAACAAGGCTCACCCTCAAAACACAAAAAAAAAAAAAAAAAGGATCAAGAATTAGGGTTGGTAAATCTTTCACTCTGAAAGAGCTGCTTACTGCACAAATCCTCACCCTTCCAAGCAGGGTCTCAATCTGCTTGCTCTTTATTCTGTTTTCTTTCCTGTTACTGTTCTCCAGCTTCCTACATTCCCTGCTTGTCCGTGGGAGACCAGTGAAAGCCCAGATTCCTGCTGTAAGATTTGTGCCCAGTCATGGAGCAGCTGGGAACATCCCAGTCCCTCCCCATCAGGGCACTGGAGTCACAGCTGTCACTCAGTGGGGACAGACCTGTGCAAGACACCAGACAGGATGGAAGAAATAGGAATGCTCCTGGACTTCTGGTGGAGAACTAACAGCTCTCCACAGCACCCTTTCTGATCATGTCTCTGCCTTGCTGGACAAGTTCTAAGTAGGATTCATACAACTTGGCTGTGGAAAATCTGAGGGAAAATAGCGCAATACCCATAAAAATGTAGGGATGGTCAGGAGAGAAAGCAGCCCCTGCTGTCAGAGGTCTGAGGGTTGCTGTGGGAGTTCTCTCTTCCCATCCTGCCAGTTTATTCAGGAAAAGCCAACAGGGTCCTGGCTGAGCAACTTGAAGAAGGGTTATTAGGGACAGACCCTCACCTCCCAGCTGATGTCCTTGCTGTTTGGAAAGTTGCAGCTTAGGTAGGGGGAAGTTTCTTAGCAGCTGCTATGTTCTGTATGTGCTGGTGGAGTTGGATTGGAACTAAGGAAAGTGTTATGCTTCCAATGGGTATTCCAGGCTGAAATGAGTCAGAAACTGGAGAGTTCCCAGAAAACATTTATTCAGCCCTCTGAGCCAACTTGAACAAGTTCCCCAGAGGGGTCCAGCCCATTTCACTATGATTTCAGTATTTTGTAAAATGTCTTTAAAATTCTTTCAGAGCAGCATAGTTAACGTGCCTCATTTTGTAAATAGTTTTAAAAAGAGCATCAGAGTACTTGGTTACAAATACATGAACACAAGACACAGCTGTCAGGATTTATTCTTTGTCATTTCAATCAGAAGGGGGTCAAAGCTGACAAAAATGTTTCTTACCAATTTAGGGAAAAACCAGTTCAGTTATAAGAATTTCAGAAAAGACCCAGCCTGCTTGAGAGCTGAACCTGCTGAGAGTGAATCAGTGCAGTTTTGCTCTTGCAAGCAAAGATGGTGCCGGTCTTGCTGAGGACAGGAGGGGACTCTCTGATTTGGTTTAATTGCCTTTTTCTGGGATGGTCAAAGTGAAGGGCATGTTGTGGATGCCACAGTGAAATCCCAGACCAGATAACAGGCTGACTCTCCTCATAAAAAGGGTCATGGCTTTCATATGAACTCCACCAGGGGCTTTGACCTGGTCTTGGGTCAATTCAGGTGACAAAATCAACATGGAGAAGTGAATATTGGCCTGCAAGTCAGGCTGGTCTGTCTCCTCTGCTGTGGACTTGAGATTTCACTTGGGACATCCCTCTACTTCCCTCCTTTAGGTTCCCTTGGATTTGTGGCCTTGTGGTGGCAGGAGCAGCCACACCTCAGATTCATGAAGGATGTGGAGATGCTGGCACATTGATAGGAGAAGGGTTTTCCCAGCAGCATCCAGCACCCAGCCATCTGGAAATGCAGCTGTGCCTGCTGAAAAATGTGCCTTTTGAAATGCCAAGTCAGTCCAGACACAGCTGTGTCTGCCTGTGTTAAACATTTACCAGGTGTCTAAAGGGCAGGACCGGGGCACAGATCCCAGGGCACAGGCAGATGTGGGAGGATGTGGGAGGATGAGGGAGGCCGATGCCTGACACTTCCCAGCACAGGGAGAAAACCCTCCCACATCTGCTCAGCCCATCACAGAGGTTGCGGTGCTGTCACACAGGCAAAGAAGCCACCTCTGGCATGGATTCCTGGAGGCTGGATGAGGACTGGGAGAGGGCTGGGCACTGCTGCATGCTGGCTCTGCTCACATGCATCACTCTGCACCTTCTGGAAGCTCCTGCTGCAGCCAGCACCATGCAGCAGGAGCAGGATGGGCTGCTGGCATCTTCCCAAGCTGCAGCTCTTTTCACACCAGCAGTGCCAGAGCAGAGGGGGCACCCTCCAAGGAAGGGTGCCACTGGAATGGACACAGGAAAAGGCCAGCTCAATGTGTTACCACACTGCTGCCAGCTCCAGAATGTTTCCTTGAGGACACCAAAGCCAGATTTCTTCAGAGACCCTAAATTTCTCTAGTTACGAGCTAAGATAAGAACATTCCCAGCTGACACCAGTTGTGACAGAAAGCAGCAGTCAACTCTTACAACTGCAAAGAACAGACATGACAATGGAAAACTGAGCACTAGAGGACCACTTAGCCCTGAAGGGAGAGGCCTCTTCAGCCTCCATTCCATATCCAGTTCCACACTCTGCTGGAAGCTTGCAAAGCTTTGTAACACACAATCCATAGCTGCCCAAACACTTTTCCCAAGGAGGGGACCCATAGGGAGGATCCACCATCCAAAAGCAACAGAGGAGGCTGCAGACAGACCATGGCTGCTGTTGGCTGGGTTTCACTGTGGCCTTCAGCCCAGTGTGTTGTTCTTGGTGCTTGTAGTGAGAGGCACCCGTGCTGGAAAGAGGTCACACACAGCCTTTCCAATGTCTGGTGGAAATAGTTTGCTCCTGGCCTCCAAGCCTGTCGGATTTTCCACTCCTAAGGCAATAAAAACTTGCTTTGTCACAGGGTGGATCAGCCTCTCCTTCTGGTGCATGAGGACATCACAGCAGTGCCAAAACATCCTCTGGTCACCATGGCAGCAGCAGAAGGGACTTGGTGAGCCCAGGGTACCCCACAGCTATGCATTCCCTCAGCATAACACTCCCCAGCCCTGTGCAGGGAAGCCTTGTTATTTCAAGCTGGTTTTCCTCTTCTCCCATTGTCCTCTCAGGCTACACAGGAAATAGGAGAGCAGCAATTTCCTTGCTGCATTTGTTCAGTTGATCCTACAGTCCTCCCCAGCGGAGAACTTCCCACAGTCCAGAAAGCCCCTATAAACCCAACACCCCAATGAACACAAGGTCCATTGGCCAAACTCTACCTTCTCCATTTCGTGGTTAATCATTCTCACTGCACACTCCACCTCCAGGGCTTTGCAGGGGCCAGCTTTAGACTGAACCCTCTGAACTGTTTGCTGACCCAGGATAGTGATGCTGGGGGGAGGGATGGGCCTGGGGAGCCAGGGAAGGTCTCCTGCACCTGCCTTGCTTTTCCTTCTCACTGCGTCCTCGCAGAGCAGAAGTGATGATCCAGCAGCAGCAGCTGAGACAGCTCCTGCCAGAGGGGAAGGTGGACACTGCTGCTGCCCTCGCCCTGCTCGGCGGCTCCGTGGCAGCCCTGGGGGTCTGGAAATGGCTGAGCAAAAAGATGATCCAGAAGAAAATGGAAGAGGCTCGGAGGACCCGGGATGAGGGTATGAAGAAAATGGCAAAGGTTGTCCAGCAGTTCAGGGAGCAGGTAAACCATCCTCCCTGGGGGTCTGAGTCCCTCTGGGGTGTCTGCTGATGCTGTCCTTCAGCTCCTCCTTCCAGCTCATGGCCCCATAGCTTTTATAAGGAGGAGATGTGCCAGCAGCCCTCAACAAGAGGGAGGGCTGCTTTGGGAGAAAGGGAGATCACTGCTCTCCTCAAGCTGGATGAGGTGTGGTGGGAGCCTACTGCTTGGGGAATGTGAATTACTCACTGAGAAGAGGTTTTTGAGCAACACAGGTGATTATGCACTGGATCTGCATTGATCCAAACCCCTGTGCTTTAATGATCTGGAAATGTCTCTTGCCAATAATGGGTAGAAGCAAGAAAGCTTTTTCTCTGCTTAACTCTAAGTTTGCACATCTGTTCACACCCCTCTACCTTTGGTTCTAAGACTTGGCTTCTGGACAGCTCCAGGGGTGTCTCCAAAAACAGCATTGTCAGTCAGTGGCACCTCCCATCAGGCTGCCCAGAAGGGGCCTGGTCTAACTTTACACTACTGAAACACAGGGTTTTCAGTGTCCCCTGGGAACAACCAGGACGTGACACGGGGGTGAATGAGCCAGGCATCCACGCAGCACAGCCCTGAATTCTACTGCAACATCATTTCTAACCACCTTTCCTTTCTGCTCCATTCACCTCTGAATACACACGGGGTAAACCAGCTCATGTTTATACAGGTAACACACCTGGAGATAAAGCACACCAGCTAAAAGTGAAACATATATCTACAACCTTTTTTCTTAAGTATAGATCTATACAAATATAAATATATGATATAAAACCTCTAAAAACCTGGTGGCACTGAGAACTGCCAGTGTTCTTTACCTGAGTAGACCACCCATGATTCCTCACTGACTTCCTTGCAGTTTGATGGGCTGGAGCTGTTAAATGTTTGTTCTCAGCCTTGGCTGTCCTGCACGGCCTGCATCTGTTCTGAGGGATGAAAGGACAGCCTGAGACTTGTGTGCAAGGACTTTGCTACCTTCTGCCCAGGCAGTGTTTGTTTAGCTGAGGTTATGTCTTGGTCAGTGGCTAACTCCCACCGTGCCAGGAGGAAGGCATTGCCTTGTCCTCTGCCTCAGTGGATGGACAAAGCCCTTCAGCACCTGGGTTCCTGTGCTTGCATCCTGTTTGTGACATCCAAACTCAGGATAAAACACTTGGCAGCTCAAGGTCTGAACCCCCACATGCAGGATCTGCCTTTACAGCAAACTCTGGTGATAATGTTGACAAAACTTAACAGCCTTATCCCCCGAGCTAAAGGGTAACTGTGGGGAGGCCTTTGAGCCTTTTAGGGGAACTTCTAGGGTAATGTCCTGGAAGAACTTCCCACAAAGGGTCTTCTCCCACGGTGCTCTGCAGCACTGTGTTAATCTGCCCCTTCCCTGTAGGTCACTGCCCTTTGCCCTGTCCTGGTACTGCCCCTGTGCCCGCAGACCATTGGCCCCTGACCCCACACTTAACCCGGGACATTGCGCTGGTTTCTTGTCTTCTGTCCCCAGACTTCTTCAGCATGGCTCTACAACAAACCTCGCTGAGGAGGTTTATTGTAGAACTCTTCTTCTCTGTAAGAACTCTTACAGAGACCCTTTCTGTCCTTCTTTGCTGAGCTATCTGTGGTGTGAGTGTGGATTGTGTGACACTCTGCCTGCCCAAGCGGCTTTCTCTGAAGATGCTTTTGGGAGGTAGCAGCAAACACCATCCATTTTCCACATTGCTACATACCTGGAGCTGCTGCCCTGGATCCCCCTCACCTTCCCCCTGCAGGTCCCCAGTGTCCAGACAGATGCCATTCTGTCCCTGCCCCTGCTGGAACTCACTGGAAGACTCCAGGAAGGGTCTCTGTCCCCCAGGACCGTCCTCTACACCTACTTAGAGAAGGTGAGTGTCCATCCACAGTGAGATGGACAAAGCAAATCTTTCACATTTTCCATGCCATGGTGTGTGTGCTGGTGGCTGAAAAGGCTCCTTGGAGCTGGATTATGACCAACCTTTAACACAGGAGATATTGAGAGAAAAACATGCTCTGTCTCCTGGGTCAGATCCATCACTGGGCAGTCCTTTGAGATGGCTTGAGCTGGGATGCTCTGGGGAGGGGTTTATTCAGGCTGTATTTTGTAAATCAAGGTAGCTGCTGAATGCAGCTGTGTAATGATGCTGTTTTTATCCACCACCTGTTCCTCTACATGCCCAACAAAGGCCCTGGAAGTGACCCAGCAGACAAACTGCTTGCGACACTTCATCCCAGAGTGTGAGGAGCAGCTCCAGGAAATAGAAGGGCAAAAGGAGAAAGGGCTGCTCTACGGCGTCCCCATCAGCATCAAGGATCACATCGGCCACAAGGTTCTTCCCTTTGTGTTTGTGGATGTCCCAGAGTGGGCTGGGCTGGGTGTGGAAGTGGTGGGAGATGGAGAATGGGGAAGGGACCCAATCCCTCCCTGCTTGCACCACAGGAAACCTGGCTGTGTCTGAGGAGCTGCAATCCAGTGGGCACTCACTCATTCACTCACTCACCCACTCGCTCACTCACTCCCCCCACACCCGGTGGGATGTGGGAGAGAGAATAGAAAGGGTAAAAGTGAGAAAACTTGGGGGTTGAGATAAAGACAGTTCATTATATAAACTCTGCACACAAGGAAAGCAAAACAAGTGACTTGTTCACCCCAATCCATGGGCAGGCAGGTGTTCAGCCGCCCCCAGGAGAGCAGGGCTCCATCATGCATGAAGGTAACTGGGAAACCCCAAGTTTCCCAGTTACCATCACCCCAAACATCTCCCCTTCCTTCCTCTTCCCCCAGCTTTATATGCTGAGTGTGACTCCATATGGCATGGAATGTCCCTCTGGTCACTTGGGTCAGCTGTCCTGACTGTCCCCTCCCAGCTGTGCACCCCCAGTCTGCTCCCTGGTGAGGCAGTGTGAGCTCTGTGCAAGCCCTGCTCAGTGATAACAATTACATCCCTGTGTGATCAACACTGTTTACAGCACAAAATCCAAAACACAGCCCTGTAGTAGCTACTGTGAAGAAAATAAACTCTAGCCCAGCCAAAAGCAGCAGAAACTTCCATCAGCAGAGAAAAGCCAGGGATGAATAGTTATAGGCACAAATGATTTCTCCTCTGATACATGACACAGTACAGCCTGCACTAAAGTTGAGCCCCAAATACCAAAGCTAACTGAAAATGGCTCACACATTTTGTTTACCTGGGATTATTCCTTCCCTGAACACCAACTGGTGGATTCACCTGGACAGCAGGATGCTGGGTTTGATCCTGAGCTAGTGCACCTATGGAGTATGGAGTATCCACTGGGTCAGGGGAGAAAAGGAGCAAGGAAAAGAGCAAGGAGAGCTGCAGGAGAAGCTTCAACCCAGTGAGTGCTTGGCAGCCCTCTGCCAAGGATGGAAGGAGAGGGAAGGGCTCTCAAGGGAGTGGGTTGGTACCAAACACACAACTCCAAAGGAATGCCAGAGGATCCTTCCAAAAGAGCAAGGGAACTTCACTGACCGTGTCCCTTGTCACTTCTCCTCTCTGCAGGGGCACTTGGCAACCTGTGGGCTCGTGCAGTGCCTGGGCACTCCGATGGAGGAGGACAGTGTCCTGGTCAAGGTCCTGAAGAGACAAGGGGCCATCCCATTTGCAATGACCAACGTGCCACAATCCCTCTTCAGGTGACATACATCACTAAAAATCTGGTTGTGCTTCTGAAGGAAAATCCCAGCCTGTAGGTCCCCGGACAGGCTCCTCCCTGGCTCCTGAGACGTGTCCTGGAGAGTCCCTCTTCCATTATCTGGCAACAATCTCAACTGAAAAAGCTGCCAGATAAAAGATAAAGAGGGGGGAAAGCCTACCATGAGTTAAGACAAATCGAGTGCACTTGTGCATGGGAGGAAGAGCATGGGAATGAGCTGTGTCCTGAGGGATTTATGGGATGAAAGGATGGGGTTGGCTATGCCACACAGGCTCTCTGCAAAGGAAAACAAACAAACCCAAGGCATTTGGCTGTTCCTCACAGCCTCTCTCCTGGCTTTCTTCTCCCCAGCTACGAATGCAGCAACCCCATCTTCGGCCAAACCTTGAACCCCTTGAACGCCCAGAAGAGCCCCGGGGGCTCCTCGGGAGGGGAAGGAGCTCTGATTGCAGGGGGAGGCTCCATCCTGGGCATCGGCTCGGACATGGGCGGCAGCATCCGCCTGCCCTCCAGCTTCTGCGGGCTCTGCGGGCTCAAGCCCACGGCCGAGAGGCTCAGGTGGGTGCTGGGGCTGCCCTCCCCGCCCTGCTCCGGGGCAGGCTCAGCTGAGGGGGAAGGTACTGGGTGAGAACTTGGAGGCAGGAGAGAGGGTGGCTCTTAAAGGGTGGCTTGCTTTGCTCCAAACCTCCCCCAGGAGATGGCATGGTTGGATTTAGTGGGAAATGGGCATATTTTCATCTTAAATCTAGCCTGGACTTTAAAATAAAAGGGAGTTAAAGGGGTTAAATAATGCCCAAATGGAACAGTTTTGGTTAAACCAAAACTAAGATCTGTTGGGGTTTAGGTTTATTTATTTTGGCCAAAATTTCCTGGTTTGAACTACTCTATTCAAATTTTTGAAATAATTTCCTTCTATTTCTGGTCTTGAGCTGCAGACCCCACATGCTTTTCAAACACATTGTGACTATTTCCCCATTACTGAAATGACAATGTAGTTCTTTTTTTCCCATAGCCTATCTGGAGTGACTGGCCCCATCAATGGCATCCTGGCAGGTACATGAATTTTAAATTCCTTTTCCCTGTATCCTGTGAAGAGCCTGATGTTCTCCTGTAGGCCAGAAGATACTGAGACAACAAAAGGCTGTCTGGAGTCCATCTGAAGCTTCCCTCACTGCCTGCCCACCCCGACGTGGCTGTGCAGAGGGGTGGGCTGGTGTTTGGCACACCCATCTGCTCACTGTGGGTGTTTGCTCTTGTCCCATGCAGTCCCTTGTGCCCTGGGGCCCATGGCAAGGGACGTGGACAGCCTGGCCCTGTGCATGAAGGCTCTGCTCTGCCAGGAGATGTTCCAGCTGGACCCCAGCGTGCCCCCCATCCCCTTCAACGAGGAGGTGAGGCCTTCACTCAGCAAGCCCTGGTTCCTTCCAGGGTGCCACACGCCCTCCTGAAGGGTCCAGTTATCTTTACAGTTCTGGTTTTCAGTAAAACAGCTCTCTTTGAGGGCACAATTCATAATTCTTATTTTTAAAAAAATAGGCAAATCAGTAGTTATCCTGTCTTAGCTGGAACGCAGCTAATTGAATTGAGAGGATCCAGGAAAGAGCAGGGAAGAAGGTGACACTGGGAGCAAATGGCTGGAGATCTTTAGGGGAAGATGAAACAGGAGCAGAAACTGCTGCAGCAAATCTCTTAACTGAGGGTGTTCCCTTTCTGTCTGCAGCAGACCAGCTTCAGGAGGTTTTTCCAGCTCCACATTTTTTAGCAGTGGTTGAATCCACTTGTCTAGAGTGGCTGTGCTCCTCCTGAAGGAGGGCCTGGAGAAAAAGGCAGGAGTAGACTTTTGGAAAGGGTAACTATAAGCAGCAAACCAGAATATTAGTTACTCCTTAGCATTTGGAGCTCTTGCCCCCTTCTGCAGTGGGTGTCAGTGTGGGAGCAGACCTCCCCCCAGCAGGGTGGGTGTCACGAATGAGTGATTCAGGTCATCTAAAGAATCACTGTCAAAGGCATTGCAAAAAGCAGGTTTCAATACAAATCTGCAAAAGGGTGACAAAGTTCAATGACAGGGTTCTCTCTGAAGATGGAGCACACAAAGGAATATCAGCTCAGTGTCACTTTGGAATGATTTGCCTGGAGACTGGGGATGCAAAGGACAAGGGTGCAAAGGTCAGGGAAGACCCTCCCACTGAGTCACAAGGTTCAGAAAGGACCCCCTTGCTTTCTAAACTCCTGACAGAGCCTAGGTACAGCTGAGTCCAATCCTAGTCCCAGACTGGCCAACAGTTCATATCTAAGAATTTAATAGGGAAATACAGGGAGCAGGGGAGACCCTCCCACGGCATCACAAGGTTCAGAGAGAACCCCCCTCGCTTTCTTGATGTCATGTGGCTGTGGCTGGATCCATTCTTAGTCCCAGACCTGGTCAATGGTGTATGTCTGAAGGATTTTCACAGCAATCCCATTAGGAACAGGAATGACAACTGGTGTCTCCTTGCTCCAGGTGTACTCCAGCTCCACTCCCCTGCGGGTCGGGTACTACGACACCGACGGATACTTCCCGCTGCCCCCCTGCATGAGGAGGGCAGTGCAGGAAACCAGGCGTGCTCTGCAGGCAGCTGGGCACCAGGTGAGCACCACCACCCCCTGCTCTCCCCCCCAAGGTGTCCCCAGCCTCGCTCCTCGCTGAGGAAATCACCCTTCAGAAACCAGACACAGCTGCCAAGCACATCTGTGGGAAAAATGACCTGGCTGAGGTATGGGATTATGGTACTCCAGCCACATAACACCAGGCAGAGACCCCTCTGCCTAAGAGAGCAGTGCAGCTCAGGGGCAACCAGCAGGAATAATCTCATGGGGAGATTATTGGATGGAAAATGGTTGAACCAGGGCTTCTCTTGGCACGTGAAGCCCAGGGAGATGCTTCTCTGCCTCTGAGGATTATCCACATCTGGGTCTTGGAAACCACTCACATCCCCAGGCTGCTACATAATCTTGTGTTTTGGTGCAGCTGGTGCTCTTCTCTCCTCCCCGGATCCCCTATGTCATGACTGAACTGTTTCTGAAGACGTTTTTTGCTGATGGAGGCCGTACCTTTTTGGATGTGTTGTAAGTAGGAGCCCTCTGGCAGCAGTGCTGCCAACACCTCCACCCCCATGCCATGAGCATGGCACAGGCACAAGGAGCCCAGCTCTCCCACCCAAACAGGCAACACTCAGCTCTCTGAGAAAGAGAAAACAGCTTCTCTGGCGTGACCCCATCTCCTTGTCATCTCTCAGCACAGGAAATATTATAGATCCAGGCTTGAAACCACAGGTGAATTCCTGCAAGATGCCAAGGCTGGTGAAGAAGCTGCTGGCTCTGCTTCTTAAACCTCTGGTGCGTCCCTGTCCCTCAGGACAGGAACAGGGGCTTCCTGGGGTGACACAAGTTACTGCAGCCCCATGCCATGTCCCTAAGGAACCTTGTGCTTTTCCAGTTTCCCCGCCTGGCTGACTACCTGAGCGCCATGGCTGGAATGAGGTGAGATGGAATTGTCCCCAGGGATGTCTGTGGAAATGGGTGAGACCTTCTCCTCTAGGTGTCCTTGGCTGGGGGGGACTGGATTCACAGCAGGCTGTGATCTGCTCTCTGCAGGGGCTGTCCCTCATTCCTGGACACAGCTTCACTGCCCCTAGTGATATCCTGACAGGAATGGGGCACTTGAATGGATAAGGTCATTACAGGAAGCCTGTGGAAGAGATGAGTATTAAATCCAGGCCCATCAGGAAAACCTTCTCTCCAGCACTTCCAGACATTTGCTGCTTAATTGCTTGGCCAGATGCCAAAGGAAACTTTAGGAAGATTGTGAAAGCTGTATTGTTTCAAGCAATTGCTAAAATCACCAGGGCTTATCAACCCAGAGGACTATTTAAGCAATCCCTGCTCCTCTTACAGCTTAAAGATGTTGCTATGATTTCCACTTGCAGGTCAGTGAAGGAGATGTGGAATCATCACCATGAAATACAGGTTTGTTTTGAAGACTTTCCTCTTTGGCATCATGCTGCAAGTTGAGGCTTTGTGGCAAGCGCCAGGTCAGAGAAGTCATGGGATTGGAAAGGGATTGTGCAGGGGAGGGGCTGCTGGGGAGGAGACAGGATGGAGGGAAAGGCACAAAGAATGATAGGAATGGGGTGGGTGGGTTTTTGAGCCAGACAGAGCTTCACTGGTTGCCTGCAGTGCTCATACCCAGGCACAGTGAAGGCTGTCCTGGGAGTGGGGATGGCCAGAGTGGGACCTTTCAAATTCCTGGCCACATGCAGTGCAGGCAAACACACACTCCTCATCCCTGCTGCTGCCTCCTCGGCTGTGCCTGGAGAGGCTGGGAGGCTCCAGGCATGGCCATGGCTCCACGACACGCCCCTCTCTCCCCAGGTGTACCGCTCCCAGTTCATCAGCCAGTGGAAGGAACTCCAGCTGGACGTTGTGCTGTGCCCTGTCCTGGGGCCTGCCTTCACCACGGGATACCCCAGGAAACTCCTCGGTAAGTGAGTCTGGGGCCTTCCCAGGAGGGCACAGAAACACAGCGGCCGAGACTGGAGGGAAACACCCACTACCATGGAGCTTCACTGCCCACCCAAGCATTTAATGGGAATTAGGAAGGAAAAGTAACTACACAGAGCTCTCTGAGCAGGTGGAGACAGACACAGCTCTCAGGGGATTCAGTGAATATGGAATGTGTAAGTTTGAAGACAGGAGGCTGTGACAGCCTGCGTCCTCTCCTGCTTCTCTCAGCTGCCATCTCCTCCACGATGCTGTACAATGTCTTGAACTTCCCCGCCGGGGTTGTCCCCGTCAGCACCGTGACAGAGGCTGATGAGGAAGAGCTAAAGCTTTACAAAGGATGCTGTGGTGACCCCTGGGACCGGACACTGAAACAGGTAGGGCAAGTGGGGGAGCAGAGACTGCTGATGTGTGTTCAGCTCACAGTTTCATCAGTATCAGGGGATCCTAAATATCTCCATCAGTATGGGCACAGTGCAAAAAAAATTGTATCTTCTTTATACACCCCTTGCTAATCCCCAAACCCACCCTGAACACACCCCTTGTTCTCCCAAGCCCCCAGCAGGTAAATCACTAAGTTTTGGGGGGAGTAAAGGATCTCCCATAGGCTGGGCAAGCTGAAGCAGCAAGGAGTCATGCAGCAAAGCTGCTGGGAGCAGGTCCTTGCAAGAGCCACAGCCCACAGCACTGCACTGCACTTTCCTCCTGCTCCACGTTGCCTTCAACCAGGCCCAGGCTGTCAGTGGAGCATGGATCAGGAATGAGGATGCTGAAGGAAAAGGGATCTGCCTACAAGACAGCTCAAGGCAGAGCTGGCTGGGGTGTGTGAGGGGGAAGGTGTCTCAAACACATTACCCAACACTTGGCAACCATTTCTATCAAAGACCAAGAGCCCTCCCTCTGCCCAGCACACTAACAGGGCTCAAACTCCAACCTCCCCACGCCGTGGGATGAGCCACAGGCCTAAACCAAGCTGCCAAGATCTGCTGGAGGTGCGAGCCCCCGGGTGACCCCTCCTGCCCGTGCCCCCTCCCGCTGCAGGCTGTGTCAGGAGCCCTGGGGCTGCCCGTGGCCGTGCAGTGCGTGGCCCTGCCGTGGCAGGAGGAGCTGTGCCTGCGCTTCATGAAGGAGGTGGAGACCCTCAGCCGTGACAAGAGAGCGGCGTAGTCACCACGGTGCCCAAGGAGAAGGGACGGCGCTGCAGGACTGCCACCAGCAGTGCAGAGACTGCACTGAGGAGGGGAGGAGGAAGGAAACGCCACCTCCTGACCCCTCTCCTTGCCAATAAACACAGATCCTGGAAGGAACACAGATGTCCTGCAGGACTGCCTTAAGATAGGTTCAAACAGTGGTAAATCTAGGAACTGCACTTCCAGCAAGGATGGGTGGCCATTTCCACCAGTGCTGCCTCCTGCAGGACAGGGTGGTGCTGAGAGGAAAGGATTACAGAAGTTCAATAGTATTTTCTTGCTGGCAGTGGAGTAACTTCATATGGATGGAACTATGGGCTGCCCCAGGAGGAATACAGCCGTGTCCATCACTTCCCACCACTGTAATTTGCTCACAAAAATAAAAATGGAACTATTAAGCAACTCCCATTATAAATTCCAGTAATTCTTCACTGATGGTGATGATTCTGTAAACAAAGTTACTACTCAAAATCATACAAACACCTGCTCACTGGACATTAAATGGCATCTAGCATGGGAATATTCACACTTATCCACAGCCTTGCTAGCTGTGAGGGATAGCAAAAGTCACTGGCCTCTCCACAGCACCACTTCTCCAGCATCCCAAGCACATTTCCAACCCCACAGGAGGGGCATTTTTAGGAGCCTCTGGTTTTCAGGACCTCAGGCTGCTCTCTCTGAAGGTAGGAGATAAGCACAGACAGATGCAACTCGTTTATGCAGATGGTGAGATGTGGGACAGAAAGGCTGAGATCCCCAGATGGTGTTTGTTAACCCAAACCTGCTCATGCAGGATCAAAGCAGTCAGGAGGAAGAGAGCAGGGCCATTTATCCCACCCCACACAGATGGATAATCGCTCCCTCTGATAAAACCTCTCTTTCTTTCCTAGATTAAGCACCTCAGTCTCAAATAGATAAGTATTCAGGAAACACCACAGCAGGTCTTTCTCATTTATTCCCCATGTCTGCAGTAAAAAAGGAGGCTTCCTTTGGGGACATTTTAGAAAGAAAAATAAATATAAAGCAGTTCTGCTTTCCCTTCAATATTGGGCTATTTCCTGACAGCAGACAGACAGATTCTGCTGCCCCTTCTACATCCGACGTAACTTGCAGAAATACATGGGCCCAAAGTTGGCTGTGAGGTGAGGCAGGACAAGCTCCCCGAGCCGGCAGTCCGAGAAGAAGGAAAAGGTGTCCTGGAAGAGCGTCCGGAAGTGGCTCAAGCCCTCCACGTGGACGCTGATGTTGAACTGGGTTTCTGCCACGTCCAGAGCCCGCTCCACCACGCACTCGTTCTGCAGCGGGGACAGGGAGCACGTGGAGTACACCACAGCTCCTCCCGGCCTCGCCGCCAGGATCCCAGCCCTGCAGCAAGGGGAGCAACACACGGTCACTAGGAGGACTCTGAGAGAGGGACACTGAGGGGCTTCCCCACCCACCGAAACTGGGAAGCCAACAGGGAACTCGTAGGAAGTGACAGACAACCCCCACTGAACTCCACAGGCTTGGCAGTCTGTGTCACTGCAACACGAGGAGTGTTTTGGGCCAGGGCAAAGAGTCAAACAGTACTTATATTGATAAAGGATTTAACGTGGGAGACACTACTGGAGAGCAGCTGGCACGTGTAATCCTGCAGTCACATCCAAAGGAACGGGATATACGTACAGGGGAAGAGATTCTTGCAGTTCAAGTGCTGCCATGGGACTCTCTAAGCTGCTTCCTTATTGCCACAGCACACAGTGACAAGCTGTGGCCCTTCCCAGCACCACATGTCCTCCCATGTGCTGGGATAGGTAGGCACGCAGGAATCCTCCAGGGCTGACTGCCAGGACCCAGGAGATCATCACCCAGAACAACTGTACCCATCCTGTTCCTTAGACCCTTCTCCCTAAATCCTACAGCTACTGCTGGGGACAGAAGGACAAGTGATCTGACCAAGAACATCTGCACTTTCTTACACTTACTGTGATTTCATGTGTTTCAGCTACTGCCAGAAAATTACACATGGTTTCCACACTGGTTTCCACACTTCCCAGCTGGGGACAGAGTAAGAAGAGGTTTCAGGGAACACAACACAGCCGAGCTCACTCACATCAGCAGCTGCAGCTGCAGCATGGGCAGCATCTGACGCTCTTTGGTTCGCCTCTTGTGGAAGATGTTGTTGTCCTCCTCCATGGCAGAGTGTCTGTCTGTCGTGCAGGGCACATCCACCAGCACCTGCAGCAGCAGAGGTCCCACCTCAGCCCCCTGCACAGGTCAAGCTCAGCGAGTCCCCTCCTGCAGCCAGCCCCGTGCCCACCCCCTCCACCCCTGCCAACAGCTCTCAGTGCCCACACACAGATGGTCACCACACTGAACTGTAATCATCTGGCTGCTCTGGCATTTTTGGAACGTGCAAAAATGGAGGAAAACATCCTGCACTAACTCATGTCCTCATTTAATGTCCCTGCTCTGTGTGTGTCCCTGGCAATGCCCCTGCAGCACACATGGGCATTGCTGCTGCAGCCTCCCAGAGTACCCAGCCCCTGGAACACCAAACCCAGCCCCTGTGGCTGGACATGGCTGAGAAGCCAGAATTATCCAATCTTCACATTTAACCCCTTCCAGGTGATGGACAGGAACAGGATTTCTAAAGGGTGTTACACAGGCAAGTACAGGTACAACTCTAGATGCACATATGCACCAGATCCTGGAGGAAGGGGTAGCAGAAGGAAATATTACTCCTTGTATGGCTTGGTCTTCTCTCTCTTCATTTATGATTACAGAAAACTACACAGTTATATGGAAGGATAAGCTGTTGTCTTCCTCAAAAAGAGAAGTGAACTTGATGGGTTTATCTTCACTGGTTCCCAACACATACCTTATGGAAAGTGCCTCCTTTCACCTGGTCCCAGTCCCTTCCATCGTAGGACGTGACACTCACAGCATCCCTGACTTCTTTGGGGACATAGCTATGGAGAATCTGGTACAGCCTCTTCATCCGGGAAACGGAGACGTCGTTGGCTGCCAGATGGCCTGACAGGACACAACAGGCACACTGGGAATGTCACTTCTGCAGAAACACACCTGATTCCCAGCTCTTCCACACAGAAATCATTAATGGTCATGCATGAATGGGTGCAGTACACTGCTCCAGCCCTGTTTTACATTTGGGAACAAGGGAACACCCATCCCCACTCACCACAAAACCCAGTCTGCAGCAGAGCCAGAGTTTTCCCACCCGGAGCCGCACAGAGGTCGAGGACAAAGTCATCTGGCTGCACGCTGAGTGCCAGCACAGGCAGGAGAGATGCTGCATCCATGAGGTAATAGTCGAGGAGCCCCAGAGCATCCGGCCTGGAAATCATCAGTGTGCATAACAAAATCAAATGTTGGAGGGGAAAAGAAAATAAAGGAGCAGTTGGAAGTGAGGATGGGGACACATGGAAGCAACCCCTGAGGCTGGCAAAGACCAGGGCGGTCTGCCAGGGATGTCTCACCGTGCAGGGCGAAAGCGCGTGATGTCACCCCTGGGGAAGGTGTAACACTTGATTTTGGAGCTGATGGAGGCGCTAAGTGGTGGGGACATCTCTGCCTGTGTCCCCATTTCTGCCTGCATCACAGTCCTGCCCTCACCGGAGCCCTCCTGGCACCCTGGGGCCGCTTCCCTCACAGCTGCGCCCCGCTGCCATTGCTGCGCCTTCTGGGGGGCCTCAGAAACGAAATCGGTGGCATTGAGCAGCTCCAGCTCTTCGGGAACGTGGTCAGCAGCAGCAAAGTTGTTGAGGAGGACCCCATATTTCTGCTCGCAGAGCAGGCCAGCACGGACCGAGGGCCACAGGGCCCCCAGGTGCAGGCCGTAGCTCGTGTCAAAGTGGTGCAGCGCCAGCCGCGTGGGCGGGATGCGCGGGGCCGTGGCAGCCTGGGCGGGAAAAACAACACAAGTGTTAAAAGACAATATACCACAATACCCCCAAACCCAGCCTCCCCACCCAGCCTTCATGTTCTTCTGGGAGAATCCAGCACTGGGACTGTGCTGCCAGAAGTCCATGAGGCCTTTCCGGAGTGTGACAGGACCAGAGGGAATGGCATGAAGCAGTGACAGGGGGACTTCTGCTGTATGACAGGAAAAGCTTTTCACCCATGGGCTGCTTGGGCACTGAAGGAGGCTGCCCAGGGAAGGGGTCCCAGCACCAAGCCTGTCTGAGTTCAAGAGGATTCGGACAACGCTCTCAGGCACAGGGCGGGACTGTCGGGAGTGTCCTGTGCACGGCCAGGATCCTGGTGCATCCCTTCCAATTCAGCACACTCAGCGATTCCAGGACTCTGCGAATGGCCGAAATGTGGCTGGGGGCCGGGGTGGGCACGGCTGCACACAGAGCGGCGGCAGGAGGGTGCAGCGAGAGGTGAAATGGGGGGACGAGAAGGGGCAATGGGGGGACGAGAAGAGGCAATGGGGGGACGAGAAGAGGCAATGGGGGGACGAGAAGGGGCAATGGGGGACGAGAAGAGGCAATGGGGGGACGAGAAGGGGCAATGGGGGGACGAGAAGGGGATTTGCACCGGGGCGCAGTAGGGTTAGCGGGGACAACAGCGGGGTGCAAGCAGCGCCGCGGGCTGCGGTGCTCTGGTCCCGCCCCGGCCCAGCTCACCCATTTCTCCTTGTGCCGGTGCCGGCGCGGCCCCGCTCCCGGTGCCGGTGCCGCTCCCGGTGCCCGGCGCAGCAGCCCGGCCGCCGCCCGCCCGCGCCCGCCCAGCGCCGCCATCGCCGCTCGCCTTCCGGGGCGGGACCGGGCAGCGCTCGGGGCGCGGCTGAGAAGCGCGGCGGGCACCGGGGCTCGGGAACGGGGCCGAGCTCAATGATATCCAAGGTCCCTTCCAACCTAAACGTGCGGTCATTACTGAGCTGGGTTTGGGCATCAGCTCCTGAGAAGGATCCGGCGACAAACGCGCTTTGCACAGGCACAGCTATGCCCTGCCCTGTGCCACAGGGAAAAA